GACACTGTGCTCCTCTCCCCTCTGTCTGCTGTCTTGGTCCCCATGATTTTCTGTCTCTTTGCAAGCCGCATTGTGTTGGAACCTTTTCAATAAACAGAATCCAGGAGTGTTCCTCCTGCAACCCATCTGTTGGGGACAGTTTCCAAGTCTCTTGGTGCTTCAAAGCACGACTCATGCACAGCCCTGGGCATGACGGTTTTTTTTTTTTTACTCTTCAGAATGCCTCTGACAATGGTTAATTTATAAATTAGGTACCGTAAGAGATGAACCACAATAACTAATAATAAGATGGACCAGTTATAACGATACGTTGTAATAAGTTACGTGAATATACCGCTTCTCCTTTGCTCTCTCTCAAAATAGTTTGTCATGCTGCATTGAAACATCAGTCCTCATACGACAATTGACTTGATAACTGATGACTAATGGGTGGGTAATGGATGCAGCATGTATACACCAGGCGTAGGAATGATTTGTGTCCTGAGCAACACAGACCTGGGCGGTACAAGGTTTCATCATGCTTCTCTGAAAGGCACAGCGTGCATTTTAAGAGCCCATGAATGGTTTCTTTCCGTAATTTTTCATTTAGTATTTTCAGACTGTGATGGACCAACCACAAGCTAACTTAAGTCGGACAAGTGAAACCATAGACAACGGGGTCTACTGTACTTAACTTGGAGTCTCAGCTCAGCCACCTTGTATCTGGGTGATCTCCGGTAAATTACCTAGAAGCCATCACACTTTTTCTTCCTTCCTTTGCAGGATGAAAAGCCAAGGTCTAGCCTAGCTCACTCCAGTGGGAATATACATGAGAGGTGTGCTCAGCTGACTTACTGGAGATGGGCATTTTTCTAAGATGACCTTCGAAGTTATGAGAAAAATTGTTGACTGCTTTTCCCAGAATTGTGAGTCCACTGGGGCACCACTGTCCTGCCTTAATTCCCGAAATGGTCCTGTTACCCAAAGGCCAGAGTCCCTGAGGGCTGAAGCAGACGTGGGAGCCACATCCCGTGAAACCGTCGGCAGGCCCTCCTTCTCTCTGTGCTCTAGAAGATGCTCCACCTCCTCCAGTGCCAGGATCTCGTGCCCTGACCTGGAGCCTGTGCTCTCTGTTCCCCTCCATTTGGGACTTGCTCATCTGCACAGTCCAGTGGAAGTCTCGGCTTATGTGTGAGCTGCTCTGGCTGCCTTCTCCACTCCAGGTTGAAATGCTGTTATCGCCACTCCTTCCACGGTGTGTCTGCCCTTGCCTCCATTTACCTGCTGCGCTTGACACGTGCTGGAGAAGCCTTTTGTACAATGACACCTGGTGGTTGAACTGGAGATCCCTTCTGTGTCCTCCATGTCTCTTTTGCCAGGGTTGGGTGGTGGTGAGGGTGGTGGTCGTGGTGGTCAATGTGCAGAGTGACACAGCACATAGTTGGAAGCACAGCCGGAGAGGCTCACCTGCATGGCATACAGAACCCCCGCACTCAGCTCCTGAGTGCAGTCCTTGAACTTGGGCTGAACCCTGCCCAGGAGCATCGCCCTGGGAAAAGAAACTGCATTTGCATTGATCCTCTGCACAGCCATTCTCTTTAGGGCCATACATTGTTCCTTCTTGACATGGAACCTGGGTAGCAGCAGTCCCCTCCCTCCCTCCTTGCTTGCTATGTAAATACGGGCTCCTTGAAGGATATTTATTGGCCTGCAGAAAAGATGCGGGGGAATTTTGCTCTCTAGGTGAGTGATAAAAAAGAGCAGCCAGCGGATATGTTCGCCAGCTTATTTACCACAAATCTCTTATTTATGGTCTCATAACCTTCTGATGGCCTGGTTCCCCTCCCCATCCACCTGGTTTTCTTCCCAGATGGAGAAATGTGCTGAGCTGAGGACTATTTGTCCAAGGTTCCTTTCTGCTTCTAGTTTCGACAGCTGGAGCCAGACCGATTGATTTCCCTGGGACTACATGGATGCTGATGAGGGCTGCAGCATGGTTTCCTTGCTGCAGAGTGCAGCTTAATGTGGTCTGACAGATGGTGTTTGGGGTCCAGCCTGCACTGAGCACCCTCTGGCTGGGTACCTTGCAGGCCATGGATGTGCTTTGGGCAGTTCACAGCAGTTCCACGAGGATGCAATGTGTCCCCCAACCAAACTCTCTTATAGACTATACAAGCCCCCTTTCTCCATTATCTAGCTGGCAGAACTATACCATTGCTCATACCCTTATCTGGGTGGCCTCCTAGAATCTCCCACAATAGGCAGACAGTTATGCTCTGTTGGTAGCACCCACCTCCTATCCTTCCATTCCCTGGGTTGCATGCCTGTATGGTCTTTGCCCAGCCCAGTTCCTACTATCCCAGCCTGATACTGCTGCCAAATGGACCTTCTGGGCTCCAGTGTTCAGTTAGGTCCTGATCCATTCCTGCTCATGGCTCCCTGAGCAGTCTTTCCAAGCTCATACTGACCAGGTTACTCGCTGTTGGATTATTTAGACGAATCCTTGACCACAGTACTCAGACTCTTGGCGGGGAATCAGAGCACTGTCTTGGATTAGCAGGCCTATCATGGTGTCAGCCTTCAGGAGTCCTGAAGCTCCCTGTCTACTGGATCCTGTGTGGCTCTCTCCTTCCTCCTGGCTTGTAGCCCCTCTCTTGGTATAACTGCTGCTTATTTCTTTTGAATGCCTCCTACCTCTCTCCCTTCTTGCCCCTGACCTTCCTCTCTGACCTCAAGAATCTCTCCCAAAGTCAACTCCTTTAGCATCTCGAAGCCAACCCTCCTGAAAATTGGGCCAGACACTTGTTCTGTTTTCTGTAGGCCACTGAAAGCTAGAACCACAAACCACGTAGGTTAAAAAAAGAAGTTTATCTTTCTACCATTCAGGAGACCCAAAGAGTGACGCCACGACATTGGCCATGATGGCTCCCCCATAGGGTGTGAGAAAGGCTGCATACCCATCTCTCTCCTAGCTTGCAGGTACCTCATTCCTACACCAGCAGCCTTTGCCATCTCATGGCTTGTCTTCTCCCTGGTTCTGCCTCCCCACTCTGTCTCTAACAAGGACACATGTCATTGGATACTGCAGAATGACTTCATCTCAAAATCTTTGTGTTAATTTCATTTGCAAAGATCTTTTTTTCTAAATGTGACCAAGTAAGGTCACATTTGAGGTACTGGGCATATATCTGGGGACCGTGCCTCTCTTCTGTACCTCCACACAGCCGAGGGACACGCCTTGATTTCCTTTCTCAGCATGGAGGTAATGGTCTAATTCCCTAACATGGAGCTCTGGGGAGCTGGAACGTGACTTGTCTGCCCCAGCACCTAGCACATGGCATGGCTCATGGACACACATAAATAACAAAGGGACAGTGGATGAATTGGATGTTTCTTCCTCATTCTAAAAACCAGCCCAAGAGGGAAGCAAGGTGGGCCTAAGGCAGTGTAATAAATTGTGGCGACAGGAATTGCTACTGCTTTTTTGGTCACTGCTTGGGAGATTCTATGGAAAGAGTTTCTACAGACCCGGTTGTGCCAAGACTGACCAACCAGGAGGCCATCATAGCGTAAGGTGGACACAGCTCCTTGAAGGATAGTAAATCCAATAGGGACTTGATTCCTGCCCAGTACCTTCAAATCTCAGGGAGAGGGCCATTTGCTTGCTGACCATGCCCTCAAGCAAGCCCTAGGTTTGGATACTAACCACATTTCACAGGAGAGAAGTGTGAGGTTCAGTAATGCAAGCATGTGGCCCAGATAACAGTGAGCATAAAACAGAGGCCAACTCGACCCATCTGCCCTTGACCTGCCTCCTCCCCTCTGAGGAGTCTCTCTGTGGGGAAGAGCAGCCTTGTTTTGGAGGCATCTGGCTAGGCTATCAGCTCAGACTTTACCCTAAGAGTGAGGAGGGATCTCCCAAGTATACACCCTCTAGCTTTCTCCTGGCTTGCTGTTGTGCAAGACACACTCTGCTTTGTGGGCATTATGAAAATTAGCCAAGGGACAATCAAAGCATGCCTGCACTCTACCCCACAGGCTTATCTAGCTTGCTGGAACCTCTACCCTGCATTCTCCAAGGAGGGCTTCCCTTGTTCTCATCATAGAGAGGCGAGAGAAACTGGAGGTGTCCTGAGTGGGTGACTCCTATCCGATGGCTGCATGCTCCTGCAAGCACGCTTCAGCCTCTTGCAACAGTCCCCCAACAGGAAAAATCTGAGTGGTACCTTGGAGCACCGAGAGAAGGGAGCAGAGGGGCATGTGTCTCTGTGGGAGTGTCACCACCCTCAGTGAACAAAAGGAGTCTCTCTGGCTAAAACACTTAAACACTTTGCAGGATGTCCATCCCCGCCCCGCCCCCCATCAGACAGTCCTCCAACATCCTGTGATGAGCTGATAGGCTCTTCTGGTGTCTTATAGGGGATGAAACAGAGGTTCAAAGTGGTTAAGGACTTCCCAAGGGTCCCCAGGTCTTAAGGGGGAGAGTCAAGATGCTCTTGTGCTTTCTTGCCAATTACGCCTTCCACTTCCTTCTAGTAACCAGATGTACTGCGCTAGCTGAGTGCAGTTTTCCTGGAGGTGTGGTTACCTTGGAGGAGATAACTGGGGCAATGTTGCTGGTTCCTTGGGGTCCCTTGGGAATGGACGGGTGTCTAATTACCAGTATGGTGGTGATGGGGTGCTCAGGACAGGGAGCCCCATCCCACCTGTGTGTGGGAATACCTGACTTGAGGAGGCAGATTCAAGACAGGTGAGTCAAGTGGACAGGTCAGGGAGAAAGCTAGCTGCTCCAGGGAGAGGAGCCTGGGTAAGCCCCGGAGCTGGGCTGTTACCCAAACTGCCAAGTATCTGGAATGACAAGGAGTGGGTTGGCCTGGAATCCTGAGGATCAGGCAGGGTGGGGACCATGTGGTGCAGATGGTGAGGTGGAAGGGGAAGGTGCCAGACCCTGGAAGGCTGCAGGACAGCCTGGGGACATGGATCATGGGCAAGTGGGAGAACAGAACGGTTTTAAGCAGGAGGAATGTGTTCAAATTTATTTTTTCAAAGGATTATTCTGGAAGCTTTAAGTGGATCAGGGCCAGGTTTGGGGGGTGAGAGGTGGTAAGGACTTTGAAACTGTAAAAACGTGCAGAAATGCAAGAATAAAGTTGGAAGCTCTTCGGAGGGATAAAAGCAGCAGGAACTATCAAATGTGGGAGGAGAATGCAAAAGCTAAAGGTACATGATGACTTCCAGGACACCTCCTGGGTCCTGGCACAACAATGAGGTGGCCTGAACACAAGGCAATCAGCTTCCCACCGCTGATGTGGAGGCCTGTGGCTGCCCACTCTGGACCTGTCCAGTGGGGCCCTGGGCCTATCACTCAGGGAAAGAACAAGGCCCACCGGCTTGAGGTTGATGTATTGGGAGGGTAACAGAAGAAGCAAAGGAAAGACCTAGATAACAAAGGTACTAAGGAGCTGGAGAGATGGCTCAGTGGTTAAGAGCACTTGTTGCTCTTGCAGAGGACCTGGGTTCTATTCCCAGTGCCCACACAGTAGTTCACAACCATCCATACTGCAGTTCCAGGGTATCTAACAGGCATGCACACAGTGTACACTTGTCACACAAGCATGTAGTCAAAACATCCATACATGCAAAATAAATGAATATATCTTTAAAATTTGAAAAAAAAAGTTAAAAAAAATAATTGAAGGTACTAAAAGGAAGGCCATGGGGGAAGGTCAAGAAAAATGAGGGACTAGTTTCAGGAGCAGGCACGGTCCATGGGCCCAATGTCACAGAGACCCTGCAAGGTAAGGCAAGTGCTGGCTGGACTTGACCCTGCAGGGTCATTCCACAGTTGCTGAGGTTGATGCAGCCATGGGCGGGAGGAGATGCCAAAGCAAGGACAGAAGAGTGGCAGGAAGTGGATGTGTAGTGCAAGCTCTTTCCCAGGGTTAAAGGAGAAGGGAAGCACAGTCCACAGCACCGCCTTCAGAGAGGTCCTTCTCTTTTAATGGCCTCATTAGCATCATGGAGGAAGCTTGCACAGGGATGCTTGATGTCTTCGGTTCCCAGCAGGACATGGCCTGAAGCGCACAGGCCCTCTCCCTCCCTCTTCTCCAGGGATGCCTGCCTGCCGGTTGTGGTCCAGCATGAATCCTGGGTTTCCCTCCTTCCATGCTCTCCCCTCACTTCTCTCAGTCCAAAGGATTCCACAAATGGTCACCTGATTGTTGATTTCCCCGGTACCAACAGTTCGAGGGTGGCCTGACTTACGCAAGCTCTAGGATCGGCACATGAAGCAGCTGGTGGCACACGGTAGGACTGAACTTGATCTTAGGCTCTGCGGGGCGCTGGATGGTTTCTGGCACTGTGATTAAACATCCTGACCGAAAGCAACTTAGAGAGGAAAACATTCATGATCTCTTTTAGGTTAGAGTCTACCATCAAAGGAAGCCAGGGCAAGAGCTCAGACAGGAACTGGGAGGCAGGAACTGAAGCAGAGACCATGGAATAACACTATGTACTGGCTTGCTCTCCATGGTTTGCTCAGCCTGCTCTCTTACGCAACCTAGGACCACCTGCTCAGGGGTGGCACCACCCATTTTGGACTGGTTCCTCCTCCATCAGTTATTAATCAAGAAAACGCCTCACAGACACATCCATGGACCAATTTGACGGAGACAGTTCCTCAGCTGAGGTTCCCTTCCCGAGGGACTCTAGTTTGTGTCAAGTTGACAAAAACTGCCTAGCACACCACAGGATGGACCAAATGTCTTCATGTTCCAAGGGAGCTCCCTCACAGCAGAATGGACCAGAATTGGAAGAGGGCTATGAAGAAGACAGGGGGCGGAAGGACTTGGGGCCAACCAATGAATGGATTGCTGAAGTCTGAGTTGTACGTCTCTTCTAGCCCTTCCTTCAGGGACATCAGGGACACCACCACAGGCGAGCTGGTTGACCACAGGGCTACAGAAATCAGCAAACGCTACAAGTTGAAGTTCTGTCTTACACCTCACTGGATGGTCTAGGAGTGAGGAGAGTATCAGCGTTGCACAGGAATCTACGAAACAGCCCTGGGCTCCTGCAAGCCCCCGGAGGATTGACCTACAAGGATTTTTAGGTCATCTTCAACCTTTTTTACTTTTCTTTAGAAACAGACAGGAACATTATCTTCCTAATTTGGACTTCAGTATCTGCTCTGTTTCCTTTAGTAGAAAACATACGGTAAGGACAGGTTAAGAGGGCAAAGGGGTTTCGGTGACCTGTGTTTTGCTTTGTTTTGTTTTCAGAGATCAAGATCCCCGGCATCTGGGAGAAAATTGAACAGAGCAGGGCGGGATCTCCGTGTTTCCTCTTTGGGTGGCATTTGGAGCCAGGTCACCTGATTACAAGCTAGAGAGAAGAAAGGAACAGAGCTAATGAGCTGAGTCTCCCTGCCTCACCATCCAGAGCCCTGTCCTCACCAATCAGAAGGCAGGGACCACAAACCTTTGTCTGGAGAATGAGTTCAATCAGAGTCTATCTCCTGGCTTCTCTTCACCCATCTGCCCTGGAGGTCCCACGGCTTCGTTTCTAGGAAAACACACAACTGTGTCTCTCCACGGGGACAAAAGGAGGGGACTTGGCAGCTGTTGGCAGCCCAGAGTGGAAAGAAGCCTAACGTTCATATGGCCTCCGATTTGGGGTGCTGTTGACCATAGCCAGTAGATTCTGTAACACGTTTCAAAATGCCTGGCAAAGATCCCCTGTTTCAAGCACATATGTGTGTCCATGTGCGCTCGACTCCATGATCAATGGATACCAAGCATGTCTCGTGTCTGCGTCGAAGAAAATATGCTCCCTGCTTGCACTGCATACCACACCTTCTCCGATCTCATCCTCATACACACGCTGTGGGGGATGGCCATTTCTACTTGGTATGTTCTAGAAATTAACTGACCAATGCATATTTGTTCTTCTCTCCTCGTTTTCACCAACTTGGTTTTCGGCTTCAGATCTCTCCCGCTTCCGCGGTCTCTCATCTTGTTTCTCTGCTTCAGATCTCTCCCCCTTCCGCAGTCTCCCAAGTGCCCTCCCCACAGCCCCCTTTGGAACCTTCCTTTCTCTCCTTTCTCTCCTCCTTGCCAGCTCCTTTTCCCTTCTCTGGCTCTTCCTCTGGGCCCCTCTCCCGTCTCCTTCCTCTCTCTCACCCAGCAATCCCAAGGTCAACAAGCAACTGTACAGAGACCTGCACTCATGAGGCTTTAATTAGGATCCCTTCAGAAACCTTGACCCCGGAGAGAGCTCGGCACTCAGCTGCCAATTTCCTTAGCTCTAGCTCATCGCTGCTTCGCCTCGCCTGGCTCCTCCATGCCTTTAAGAGCAAAAAGCCAATAAAAGAGATTTAGAATGGACACGTGGATAAGGAAAGGCCTGAAGGTATCCCACCTCCCCTTCCCACTCACAGTTGAGAAAATTGAGGCTGCACTCTGGCAGGAACCAGGATGCCTCAGCCGCATGGAGCCAGTCAAGAGAGGTGCTGCTCTCAGGCCCTGGTACCCCAGTCTTTCCCGCTCTGGTGCCCCAGGACATGGCCACCAAAGGACTCTGAATTTGGAGAACACCTTAAGGACCAGACTGCTTAGCAACACGTGCTGACATTTTTTTTTTTCCTAGACATGCCCCGAGGCATCTTGGGAAGAAGCTGCAAAGTTAAACAGAAACAAACGGTGAACTCAGTAATTGCACACGCTCCTATTTTCTTAAGAAACCAACTGGATCTCATTACGATAGGCTCCTGAACGTAGACAGAGAAAACCTTGTCGTCACCCGTTAAATATGTCTAATTTTACACACTGTCATGTAGTGCTCCATCCAGCTGGCTCTCTTCGAGGAGGAGGAGGAATGAATGATAGCCACTTGGCCTGTTTCTCAGCACGTACGGTTTTTTTTCTTCTTCTTTTCAGGGAGGGCTGGGGAGGACGCCTTGTCTCCTTCATACCTAACATCTGCAGTAGACTTTTAATTAATCAAAACCAGAAACTGTTAGTCTAAGGTTGATAGGCCATTTTGTCTTATCCAAATCCCACCACTTGGCCAGTCCTCAGTTTCCCCAACCGTAATGTGAGAGCTGCCTGGCGTTTCCCAGGGCCTAAGCACTGCTGCTGCTCAGACCCACTCTGTGCTTGCCAAGACCTTAATTGCATCAAAATGCTGAGCAGAGTCTGCTTTTTGTTAAGGCTTTTGCTTACAGAACTGTCTTCCAAATCGAGAACCTTCCTGATGCTTTGAAATAAGCCTAGACCTTAAGGAAAAATGAAAATTGCGATATGGAGCCTCCGAGTGCCCTCAACTCCCCGTAAGGAAACGTGCACAGAGGACACACATCCGGTTCAAGGACTTTATACAAACTTATCGTAACTTAACAGTCATAAGCTAATAGTCAAAGGGAATTAATAATAGGGACGTGGCCATTTGAGCAGTGAGATGGGCCCGTGTCATGGAATTTTTGCAGCTAAACCCTCTTGAGTTTCTGTACGCTAATAGCAATTAGCTCCTGAGTTAATGGCAGCTGCGGTCATAATGAGATTGGAATTGATCATTTGGAAGCAGGCTCCCATAAGCTGGCCTTATGAGCCATTTCAGCCGCAAAGCACTGCCTTGACCCCTTCTCCTCATACCTTCCATCATGACCCCATCTTCAAGGCTCCCTGGAGTCAGTGTACAGGCTCCTTCACATACAGCCTGTGCTGAGCAGGGCACAGACAGCATGGAGGTAGGTTGCACTACAGCCTGTGCAGCTGGGATTCTGAGCCCTGAAGGTCAGATTCCAGATGGCTTCTGTTCACCAGCCCTGTCCTGGACCCTTTTCATTGGGAGCTCCAGTCCATCTTAGGGTTAGTTTCTATACCTTTCTCTGCCACTTACCAGTTCCGGACAGTGAGTTAGCTTTTCTCCATCTCAGCAGCTTCGGCTGTCAAGAGCATGTTACCTACCAAGTGGGTTTGTAGTAGTGATGAAATAAGAAAATCTATCTTGAAGACGTACAATAATTGCCTTTCTCTGTGTATCAGTTAGCTTTGGCTGTGTAACAAATCATTCTCCAACTTAATGGTTTACAATAACAATCCTTTCGTCTAGCTCAGGGTTACAGGGCTCTGCTGGGTGTTTTTCTTAGACACTCGCATACTGCTATCATTGCTTGATGGGGGAGGGGGAGCTGGATGGTCTAAGTATGATACATACACACTTGTGGTTGGCAGGTTTTCAGCCTGAGTCATAGGAGTAACTGAGCCCTGTGACTGGCATCCTCCAGCAGGTTAGCTTGGGCTCATTCACATAGTGGTCTCAGGATCACCAAGCTCACGCAGGGAAGGCAAGTTTCAATGACAAGGGCTTCCTAAGTCTCCTGTGTTACACTTGCTGTTGTGCTATTGGCCAAGAAAAATCATGTGGCTAAGCCTAGCTACACCACCGTCACCACCCCCCCCCCCCCCCATGCAAAAGGGCACACAGTCAGAGCTGGAAGGAGTCTGTGCTAAGCTTTCTGGTCAACCACACCTACCTTTCCTTTTGTTAGCTCCATTCCTCTGCAAGACGGCATAGGCATTTCAAAAATGACTACTGATGCATGCAGAGTGAGTTATAAAAAGTAGTTTCCAACTGTTCATAATAAAATCGAGGAATCAGGGATGAGGCATGGTTCCGTGGGTAAAGTATCTGCCATGCAAACATCAGGACTTCAGCCCAGACTCAAGCATCCCTTCCCCTGTGCAAAAAGCTGGTGATGCCTGTCTAACCACGGCACTGGAAGACAGAGACAGGAGGATCCCTAGGGCTTACCTAGAGAGCCATTCTAGCTGAACCAACAAGCTTCTGGTTTAGTGTCTTTGTCCTTGTGGTAGGGGCTGACTGAGTCTGCCTCTGGCCTCCTCGTGTGCACGCACAGCTGCACATACCCACAGGCATGTGCATGCATACACTCAATTTAAAAAAAAAAACAACTCAGCTTAAAAAAAATAAAATTGAGTCTCTATGATGTGACAGAACTTGGCCAGGACATCACGGTGCTTGGGCAGTGGTGGCGGCAGGAATGACGCCCCTTTCCTTGTCTCCTCCTGTGCACCTGAAGGAAACAGTTGACAGAGAGATTGGAACATTCTCTAAAAAATGTAAGCCTCCCCCCCAGTACTTCAGAGATATGTTTTCTGTGAGCTTTTTATTCCCATATTCTAAGGTCTGGGGGGTGGTCTCATGACCCCCGCCCCCGGTCTGGGATACCTTTGGAAGGTAGACACTTAATGTATCTCCCTGCCGAGTGGGGGCTATGGAAGGGGTCCCACAACCTCCCCACCCCCCTCTCCGTCTTTGGCTTCCTGGAGCCTCAGCCCATGAGTCAATATGTAGATAATCATAGTGCCAGCTCTGCATTGTCTGAACAAAAGGTGATTAAATTACTCAGGAATCAATTCCAGAGCTGTTTTTCCTTTCTTATTTAAAGAGCACAAACTATTTTCTCCCAAGGATAAAAATCAATATTTGAGGAAAAAATTGGGCCTTATACCATCCCTATCAGGGACCCAAGAGAGCTCTGTGGGTGGAGGAAGTGTCGGAGACGCTAGCTCTGCCTTCCTAGTTGGAAGGCAGTGAAGGCGGTAGGAGGAAATTGGGGAGCCAAGCTCCCCTTGCTCTAGGTTCACCTGCATGTTTTTTCTCTCTTCCCATCGGTTGTGGAAGTTTTGATCTGTGGGAACCATCTGCCTTAGCAACACCCAACCGTCCCACCATGCTGGATGTAGCAGTCAACATAGCCCACGTTTTATGATGCAGTAACAAATGGGTCCCAGTGGCCGACAACAGCAAAGCCTTACTCCATACTCATATTCCACATCTTTCCCCATGAGTCCCAGCTGTACTCTGTCCCATCTGCATTCCAGAACAGAGCTGAGAGAGTAGCATCTATCCCAGGCATTTGGAGACTCACGGTTGAGGGAAAACAGAGTAGAAGTCAATAGTTCTCAGGGCTTCTGTTCAGAAGCAGTACAGTTCACTTTTGCTCACATTTCATTGGTTAAATCAAATCAAATGGCCAAGCCTAATGGGGTAGGGAGGAATAATCTTCCATGGAAAAGACCAGCGAATATTTTAAACAATAATATAATCTAACACATATGGCCTCTACTTGGGTCTGCTCAGTGCTGGTGTTTAGACAAGGGTGTGAGTTTTCCAGGGCTGGGTTGGAGTGGGAATGAGACTCAGGGGTACTGTGGGGGATGTGGGGGGCCCACTGGCTCTGACTCTGTCTGCTTCAGTCTCCAACAGAGGAAATCTTAACAGGCACTTCTGTGAAGCCATTTGCTTATGAGCTACACAAGTTTCCAGACGTTTCAACTTGAAGCGGCCCCAAGAATTGCTGGAGTAAAGCCAGAAGCCTGGGCTGTCTAGTCCTATTCTGAGGAACAAACTGTCCCCTCCTCTGAAGGTCACACAGGCCAGGCAGGCTGCACACTGGTTGGAAAAGCTATGACGGGACCACGTGCCCCTGTAAGAACATGGTCTACCTTAAGGCCACGGTACTTCAGATCTCGAGTTCCATATAGAAAATATCAGAGAGCTTCCAACTCAGGCAGCTTCTTCACCTTGTCAGCCACATGGCCTTTGACTGTCAGTTCTCTGCATGTCACTGTTGTCGGCGATAAACTGGGACAAATGCCTTCAAAGCAGCCTTCCTTCAAGGCAGGGATGCTCTGGGTAAAGAGTTGCCTGTGGCTCCCCAGGAGCCTGCTAAAGACTGTGGAGATGAGGTCTGTGGTCACCCCATGTCTCCAGAGACCTGGTAGCGGGTAAAGATGTATCCTCTGAGATCTCCAACAGGTGGCCATGGCACACTGAGATCGTGTAGAGCGTTTAGCTCACACGAGGAATGTCTTTCTAATGGGAGGGGTGAGAGGTGGGCTGATATGAAATAATGAATCTCCATCACAGGAAAGGAATTGATATCTGCCTCCCAAGGGTGCTCTGAGTGATGATAAGTATAGAAACTGGGAGGCTCCAAGAATCAAAGACTCTTCGCACTAGACCAGATCTATCTAATTCAGGGGGTTAGTAGGTGTGATCTCACCATGAAAACCATGTGGCCTTCAGAGCAGCAGATGCTCTCTTACTTGACCTTGCTTGGGCCTTTGACTGTAATTTCCATCTCTTGGTCCTGTTACCAGTTCTTACAGGGTTCCTACATTCGCTCCAGTGCTGGGGGCTTCTACTCAAGGAGACCAGACATGACTCTTGAGTCTTGTCCAGATACAGTAGAGATTTTCATGATTCATTGTGGCTATGCCCTGATGTTCAAGGAGCAGTGGTACCCAGATGCCCAAGGCATGAACCATGCCCAGGGGAGGTCAGGAACAACACTGTGGGTTTGCTGTGAGTGAGTGCGTTCAAGCACGTGGGGTAGCACTTTGACCACCGGCCATTTTCTTAGCCTTGAACAGTGTTTTTCTCCTCCTTGTCCTACTCTATCGGCTTCTGTTTCCTTGAATTGACAAGGACAGTGGCATGGCCCAAGGGCTCAGGGTCTCAATCTCATGAGCGTCTCCCGCTGGCCCTGTGAACCTGTCAAGAGCCTCTTCTGAGCACAACCACAGCTCAAGGGAACGAGAGGTGTGACACTCACCTACCCCATCACTGGTCCTGTACCAGGTCCCAAGCGGGTACCTTTGTGACGCTGAAGCTGGGGAAGAGTCTGGCTGCTGTGCTGGAGAGCAGTCTACCAAGTACCCAGGCAGCCTTTCCCCTCTGGGCTGCACTGCTCCAGTTTGGCCATGGGTGGCGCTGTTGTCTATGTCCCAGGTGACAAAGACTGGAGGAACGGACAGTAGCAGACTGGTGAGTGGTAAGCACCAAGAACCCCCACAATTTGGGCTGTCATTGTGATGGTGGCCAATACTGACCTCCTGTTGGGACTG